TCTTTACCAAGCTGGAGGACACCTGCGCGAAACTCTGCAGTTCATCACACCAACGCACCTGCTGAGGAAAATATTGCAAGACCTGGCTTGGTGACTCTTTTCCAGCACTGGTCCAATGAAACTGGCTGCTGTTTTCAGCGACGGTTAAAAATGTGCACCAGTTGATGTTATCTGCATGGAGCAGGTAACCCTTTACATTTTGTATTCAGTCAGCAGTCACATGAATGATGAGGCAGGGACTAAAGCTTTTCTGAATGGTCTGGTTTGCAGTGCCAGCAGCAGGACATGTGATAGAGAAAAATCCTTGCTCAGTATTTTTCTCGTGTCATGAAAGTGCGAGAGGGAAACTGAGGCGTTGCACCATTCAGCTGCCCCAAGGGCTAGCCCAGTCTCCTAAAATTTAGGGTGCTGAAAAGGGAAGGTTAATTAAAGATGTGAGGGAGGGTTTTGTAGTACTCTGATAAGGAAAAAAATATTGTTGTGATTAAGGTTTATTATCATCTTTAAGACTTGGCTCCTACTCCTAGCTCTGCCACAGCCTTCTTGTGTGTGAAGTCACAGGGCTCCTCACCTCGAGCATGCAAAGCCCGATCCCACTTCGGCAAAAAGCTCCAAGATGCTGCCTGTAGCACTCACAGGGAAGGACTTTTACCAGGGAGTCTCAGCAATTGCCATGGATGCTGCAGGATGGCAATGTCCTGCCTGGCTTTTATTTTCTTCCTTCTTTGGCATTTGCCTTCTTTATTTGTCTGTAGGAGGCACAGGTGGAAGATGCCAAGCGTCTTCTCCCTCCCAGCGCTGCTCAGCAGAGGTAGGTGATGGCAGGACCAGCCAGGTGGGGACAAGGCAGGCTTGCCATGGGGACAGAGACCAAGCTGTGCAGTGAGCCAGAGTGACCACCAGAGTTTTGGTGATAAGGCCACACTCAGCAAGGGCAGAAGGCACTTGGGAGAAATCAGCCCCAGTCTAGCATTCAGGAACAATGCTTTTCTTTATTCATTAAAGACTTCAATGAAATTTGTAATTTGATGTTCAAATGATTCACAGGATGAATCTTTCCCTGATAAGCAAGTAGACAAGATAGACGTATTATCTTACCATAGTCACCATCAATCCACATTCAGAGATTAAAAAATTACAGCCCTGAGACAGAGACAAATTCAAACATTTATAGGGAAAAAGCCAATAATATTTCCAAGTCAAACTCCTTCCAAAATCCCTGTATTACAGACAAAGTGATTCTGGGTGCCTCGAGAACCCTGCTGAGATTTCCTTGGCTTCCAATGACTCCATCTCATGTCTGCACAAACCCTCAGTCTCTGCTTGCTCTCAGAGAATTACGTTACTCTCTGCTTTCTTTTTTATAAACTAGTGATAACTTCAAAGGGAGGTTCAATTAGAACAATATGCATGTTTTCTGCAGCATTTTAAGCTGTAAGACATATTCAAAAGGAAAATTCTTGCTTATGATAATTTTCACTGAAAAATAATTTTCATCTAAAAAAAAAAAACAAAACCTGAAAAATGTAATTTATCTTGTTTTCTACAAAATATTTCCTAAAGCGTTCTCTCTAAATGGATTTTGGAGAAGAAAATCCTGTTTTCCACACAGCTGTTCACTTCCAGTGACTTCCCCATCACAGGCTGCAGCAATATAAAACTAAGTGAGGCAGAGGGATGAAGAATTCACTTTTCTGCAGCTGAAAACACCAAACATGCAGCTTTCTGGGTGAGCAGCTTGGATGCTGGATCATTGGTGTCACAGAAAAGACAGCAGCTGGGAAAATTATACCAGAACATGTCTGTCTAATTTATTTGTGTGGCTGCAAATGCTCTGGAGATGCCCCTGCCACATTTTGCACCATCTCTTATTCCTACCCTGACCAATTCTAGGCTACCAACACAATTACCACATCTCCCACTCTGCCATTTCAACATCCCACATGTCTGCTTTTCCAAAAGTTGGTCACTTTAGGAAGAGACACATCTCAGTTTTTGTGGGTGTTGTTGCTGAGTGGTGCAGCTCTGCAATAGCAGGTGTATTTGTTAGCCAGCCAGCTTTTCTTTTAATTGTTTCCGCAACATAAAGAGCCTGGCCTTGCCATGCACTTTGCTTGTTTCTAATGTTGCTGGGTTGCAAAGCAGAAGTTTCTAGTGAAGTTGGCCAAAGGCAGCCATGCACCCCTGTACCCCTGGCTGATACCCAACCACTTGTCTCCTTCTGGTGTGGCTTCCTCTCTCCCACTGCTTTGGTGTCCTCTGATGCAACTCTTACCCGCTTCTTTTTGTAGTCCATTGTTTTTATCAACATAGAGTAGTCAGGAGAAATACCAAGGCATTATCACACCACATAATGTGGTACTTAAAATTGTGCTTGTCTTCTGCTCCCCATAGGCATGTGCTCAGATAGTAGCTCAGAATTTGTTCTTGTGGCTTTGCAAATATTTAGTAAATCCATCACTTCCCATTTTTTCTCCGTAACTCCCCAAAATATACTTGTGTTACTTATTCCCCTTGAGGGTCCATCCCATCATTCATTGTTCTAGAAACTCAGCTTGGCTTGTTACTTGGTTTTCCTGATCTCTTCTAGCTTTTATGCACCTTTGCAGCTGCCTCCCTCTCCTCTAGAAGGAGAGCTCTCCCTCTGACTAGCAGAGTTAACAAAGACACAGGTATTAACAACCCCAGGCAGATACAGGTATAGCTACTCACCCCAGCAATATCCCACTTGACAGTGTTGTCCAAAAGTGAAGCCAAAGCTTATCTTTTTGTGGCTTTGCCCTTTTGTAGGAAGAGCCTGGTCCCTTCCTTGTGCTTGAGATGGGAAGAACTCGAGCTCCCCAGGCAGTCAGTGCCGCCTGCTTTTATTTCAGCAGAGCTATCTTGCCAGCAAAGGATTACAAGAGCTTTCTCTAGCTCAGTTGAGAACAACTATGCTTCACCTATGACTATAGATTTTGGTCATGAGGGTGAAGAAACCCTTCAGGGCTCAGCAGATGCTCCTCCTGATACAGTCTTTCCTGTCACTGGGTTCTTGCTCAACCCTAATTGAAATCAGTGATCTTTGATCAAAGAGGTGAGCGCCATTAATAAGCGAGGGATTAAACAAAAGTCGGGAAGCCTTCCTAATTGAGAGAACCAGCAACGGCTCAGCTCCAGTTTGCCAGATCCAGCACTCTGTCATGGGACTCAAGTCAAAATGCGCCGGCAGCACCAGTTTGGGCTCCTCGGGGCTGGGGCGCGGGAAGCAGCTCCAGCCTCTGCACTGGAGGCTGCACTGAGACGCGCTCCCGGGGCATTTCGGCAGCATTAAAAATGCAACTCTCCTGGCAGAGGTGGCTCTTCCTGGTCATGTGAAGCCCACGAGACCTGTGCAGCAAAGCCAAGTAAGTGCCTTTACTGAAGGAGGAGGTGGCATTCATTTGTAAAATGTCTGCAGCAACTTATTTTACCTGCCTCTGCTCTCACACACACAAAGAAACATGTTATTCAGACCTTTTCCCAATGCCACCCATCCACAACACGGAGGAAGAGGAGCTCCAGCAGCCATGTCCTCCTCCCTGCATTTCATGGGTGTTTCCTGGCCAGCTCTGATAAACTAATCTTTGACTCAATTTTTCATGCCTGTACAAGCTATTGCTCTTTTCTAATGCAGCAACAACATAAAAAAGATCGGCCTTTTTTTTTGTGTTGTGTTGGCAATCACCCTACTGTCAGTGTAGTGGTGTGAGGGTAAGCACAGGTAAAAAACCTCAACAGCAATGGCAGAGGGAGCTTATCTGTGCTTATGCCCACTTATTTTCTGCTGCATCTCTGGATCTCCACTAGTGATCAACCACAGCTGCCCAACAGCAGGTTTCCAGAGCTGCAGATATCACCAGGTTTGTGACTTTAGTGAGATCAGAGCCCTGAACATGCCACATTCACCACCTCCCTCAACTCAAGCTTTCTCAATACTGTGCCTTGAGCAGATTTTAGATTGTGCCTTTAGACTGCCTTGTAGTACAAAATAAATGAAGGATGTGGACATTCCAAAGAACAAGGCCCAGCTTCCTTCACTGCCTTATGCTCATCCACACTGAAGTCGGGCTGCTTAAATCTCCCTTTTTTCCCAACTGCCAAGACAGATCCCTGCATAATTTAAAGAGGAAAAACAGTAATGTGCACAAAATAATCTTTGAAACCTTGGATCGAAGCAGCAGGCCTTGGTGGGCAGCTGAGTCATCCACTGCACTGGAGGGCACAGCCAACACAAGATGATCCATCAGAAACTAACTGCAACAAGCCTGCAGAAATGGGAAACCATTATGTGATGATTCTTGGAGCTACCTGGAGAGAAAATGCACTGCCACAGGCTTGCTTGGCAGTCACTTGGTGAGTTACTCTCACACAGCAGGATGGGGACACACAGCTATTCCACCTGCAGATGAAGGTGCACTAACATGGAAACATGTAACATTCCAAGAGCAAAAATCTGCAGTTTAAAATCCAACTGAGATACATCAAAGTTGTTGCAGCACATACAGGCCTGAAGATAAAAGCAAAAATGCAATCCAGTGAGAGAGTTTTCATTCACAACAGGCAGTGTGAAGAAATTGCTATAGATCCTCCCTTTCCTTCATATTTGTAAAAGCAGTGGCTTTTGGGGCATGTGGGCCTGCCTTGCCTCTCTGTACTTGGGGGGAAGTTGGTTCTGAAGGAATTATGTGCACATTGTGCTTAATACACAAGCTGACAAGAATGCCCAATTTCCTGTCATCATGGATGTCCCCAGAACAGGTCAAGATCTTCAAAGAATAGAAAAGGATATGGTTCTAGACTCCAGAATTTTGGGTTTATATTTAACAAAATGAGCAACACGCACTGGGGAGAGATGGTGATAAATTCCAGCCAGAGTTAATTTAAGCACAGCCACAGCTGAGGCCTGTTGGAAGGAAGTTGCAGATCCAGTGAGAGGTATTCATGTTTCAGTTGTTGAGAACATCATAGGACAAACAAAGTTACAGTTAAAACAGTGGTAAGACCACCAAAGGGCATTTTATGAGGAACTTCAAAAATATGCAAAAGAGACAGTACAACTAGTTTAATCAGTCAAACAATATAGTGTAAGTTGCAAATGAGACAGAAGAATGGCCAATAAAAATATATTAAAATATTATTTAATCATAAAATAGAATTACAACAACAGCTTATTAGGATGAGAATCTTTTTAGCACAGCAGAAAAAGTACCATCATATATTTCAAGTAAGTTTAAAGGGAGAAAAAAGATCAGTTTTAAAATATTCCATGTATTTCAGTAGTTTTCCATCCTTTCCTGATGAAATATTATAATGGTGTTATGGTTTCCAAGCAAAAGATGCTGAACACCATAATAAGACCTTCAGACTTGTCTTGCTTACGTCAGCCCTCTCTCATCCATTCTGAAGAGTGCATTTAACCTGCAAATGGATACGGTGCAACTCCTTTCACCCCCAGTCCTGTTATCTGTTAAAAAAAAAAAAAAGTGATAATTCACCATTATTAGACACTTGGTTTCTTTACACAACTAGACACGCTTTAATTTAGAAAAAGACTGTGTCCTCCAACTTGATATCCTACTACATTTTGCACACATCAGCTCATCACAGACTGGAATTTCAATGCATGCTCTTTCTCTAAAGCTCAGTAATCACAGGCCAGAGTCCGTTCCCCAAAAGCCTCTTCTCTTAGATACCAATAAGCCTTAATTCTGCAGTTCACAAATGTAACCTTTGGCATGCAAACACAAAGAACAGGGATTTAAAACAAATCCCAGTGGAACAATTTTTTAAAGAGATAACTTTGTGATAATTAACTAGAAAGTAAATAAAAGTAGATGATTTTATCTACCACTGATTTAGACATGTAAGTATTTACCCATCTTTTCCATAAATAGAAAATGTAAACAGCGTTGGGAAAGGGAGAAGGACAAAGATATGATTGCATAGAAAATTTGCACTGTCAGCATTGGTATGAAGTTTAAACCCCAAAGTATCTTCAGATCTCTAAATGTGTTTAACTTTCTGCAACAGGAACAAAAAATACAAACAACAGCTTAACATATATGACCAGTGTTCTAACAACTGTCTTTTTCCAGCTTCCCACCACTGCCAACTGGAGTTTTGCTATCTGAAAAAATCAGGAGTGAAACAATGGCCTTCTAAAATTAAAGGAGAAAGTATAATTCACCTTGAAAATCCCACCAGCCTGTGGTTGCCGTGAAAGCCACTCTTTATCCATTCCATCACTGGCAGAAGTCACAAACATTTCTGAATAATCCTTTCCTCCAAAACAGCAGGAAGTTGTTTTGTCTACGGGAAGTTTCACAGTCTGGAGTCTTTTTCCTGGAGGAAAACATGCATGATGTTTCCTGTTTGTCTACTTAGAACAAGAAATTTAAACAAATTATTGCAAATAACCGTTGTGGAGCCAAATGTTCTGCAAAAGTGAGAACCAGGCTGGTCCCATCCTGACTGATGAGCACCATGAAAGGGAGAAACCAGACTTCTGTGAGCCTTGTTGTTGATGATGTATCATTTGACAAGTTTCAGTTTCAGGTATCACCAACAAATCCCACTTCAATCCCAGCCTGTCCTCTAATTAAATGCTAACATCCACAGTACGAATATGTATCTAAGCTCATCATCTAGGCTGTCCATGGAGCCAATGGAGATGGGATAGAATTCCTCTCTAAAACAGGTCACATGAATCACGCCCTAGACCTGCTGACTTTTCTACTTTTAACTACAAAGGCAGCCTGGAGAGAGCAGACCTCGTGCAGCATTATGGAGGCGTACCGCCTGCTACACCTCTACTGCCTGTGGTTAAGGAAGATTAATTCCTAGAACTTTTTCCTGACATTTCAACAGTCTTTTGAATCAAGCTTGCATAAAATAGAGATCATGGGACATGTCCAATGTTTATAAAAAACTAGCGCTACCATAAATAACACTATGCATTTATTATGCCAACAAATAAAGGTGGTCTTAATGATGGTAGCGAACAGATTGCCTCTAGCCCTAACCAGAAGGCTGTCAAGACATCTTGCAGCAGATTTTTTACAAAATTTCTGCTAATCCTGGGCAATAATAGCCTATTCCCATTATGCCTATTTTATGTACCTACAAGTGAATCTCTCTTTCTAGAAATACGCTAAAGAATTTAGCATAGAAATAGAAATATGCACAAGAATTTCCTTACAAAATGTGCAACTTCTCTGTCCTCCCAATTGCATGCATAAAGGGCCTGGTCCCCTTTTAGTAATCAACTCTAGTGATGTTTTTTTGAAACAGCAGGAAAGTAAATTTGATGCTGGGAACCCTAGAAAGTGATTGACACCAAGTCTGGGAGAAGATGAGTGGGAAGGGCATTCAAAAGGAAAAAACATGGACTGTAGGAAAAGAGGCATGATCCCCAAAGACAAGGGGATAGACCCTGGTTGCGGTTGTAGAGTGCTCTCAGTGGATAACAGGGAAGATATAATTTACAAAGCTCTGAGCTTCAAGAAAATCTACACCTGGATGGTCTACAATCTATCTGAAGTACTATTGGCCTCTATAGAAGAGACAACTATAGCAAATCTTTTTGATACTATAAAAAACAAAGCATATTAAAAACAATCATTAGGAAGAACTATAAAATATTTAATTGCAGTTTAGATTGGACATTAGGAAAAATTTCTTCACTGAAAGGGTTGTCAAGCATTGAAACAGGTTGTCCAGGGAAGTGGTGGAATCACCATCCTTGAAAGTATTTAAAAACGTGTATATGTGGTACTTAAAGACATGGTTTAGGGGTAGACTTGGCAGTGCTTACTGATGGTTTGACTCCGTGATCTTGGAGGTTTTTTCCAGCCTTAATGGTTCTATGATTCCAATTTAAAGAATAAAACTAGCAGGTCACTAAGTGACCAGAAGCTATGACAAGACTTGGTAGCATGTAAGTTAGACATCCCTTGAGTCCTTTGCAAACCCCATGGGATCAGCCATTAGTCTTTCCCTGTAGCACATCCTCAATCTAAAGGCAGCAGCAATCTCTGCCAAAAAAGCCTAGACCTGAAAAGCTGCTTCACCCTGAACCTCAAAACCTTCACTTAGGAAAGATGCCAAACAAACAAGTTTCCTGGTCCCATTGCCCTAAAAACAAAGTCCAGGCTTTGTTATCATTGAAACCTGAAAATCCCTCATGTGCTTTAGCTGAGCTCTTTATTGGTGGTTGTATCTGCAACTGGCTGACAGCCATTCAAGCCACACTTAGTGGCTATTGTGCATTAAAAGAGGCTTTCATAGAATTCTCTTCAAACCTGACTGGGTTATCTCCCTAAATAATTACAGTTCATTCAGAATTCAGCAAATTGCAGATTTTAGATACTACTTCAAAATTATAGCATGAGAGGGCAGGTAAGCATGAGATATTCACAAAAAAAGTTGGCTCTTTGTGACATGGACACTTACCCTGTGAAACTTCACAACACTGTTCTCTGCTATGACATGGATGAGGGGGAGACAACACAGGTTCATGAAAGAGAAGTACACTGAGAAATGCACTTCCAAAACATCAGTACCTCCTCCATCCATGAGCATAGTTAAAGACTGGGAGTGCAGTAGGGATATGTACTCTGCCATCGATATTCTTGCTATTCTTGCTATCTTGCTTGTGGAGACTATTCCTTCTAGCTTTCCCATATAAAAAACATCTCCAAAAGGGAGAAGGGAAAGGAAAATAATAAAAAAAAATAAAGGAAAAAAAAAAAAACCAGGCAGGAAAAAGGTAGAAACAGTGAACCAGAGTCTACTACCTCAGAAGGGTATTCAGAGGGCTGGTGGATGTGCTCTGTGCAAGGAGTGCTCTGCCCACCAGAGTGAGAGGATGTGAGTCCAGAAACAAGTCCCAGCATTACTGGCATTTCCCAACTGGAGCTTCCTTCTCCTAGAGCTGGGGTGTAGACTCTGCAGAACTGGAGACGTCCTACAGGTTGGCAAGACTTTGGATGGGTACAGATCAAAAGGTGAGGGGGAAAGTACAGCCTGAGCCTCAAGAAGAGGTTTCCAGTAGAAGCAGAAGCATATATGCCAGGATCTGCTGCATGCTGCACACAAGGCTCTGGCATCCCTGAATCTGCAGTCCCACAAAACCCCAAGCCTTCTGCTAGGCTCCAGTGGCATCCCAGTGCAGTTGCTCTTCTCCTGCATGATGCAAACTTGTGCTGTCTGGGATCTGACAAAATCATGCTCCCATTCTCACCCAAGGGCCACTTGCAGCCAGTATGGTTCAGTTTCCCTTAAGTGCTTTACATGTGTTTTCTACCCAGAGTAAATCATCCCTGGCACGTCACTGGAGTCCAAATGAGAGCAGCAATGAACAGACTCAGACAATGGGCACACCCAAGACATTACTGTGGGAATTATAAAATGCTGTGGAATTCATGAAACATTTTTTAATTATTTCATTGCATAATTGATCGTGCAAGTAACTTCCAACAATAAAAAAGATGTTGCTGGCATCAGCGTCCCGCAGGACTTGTAATAAAATCCAGAAGGCTGCCCAAAATAATACACTAAGCTGAAGAAACAGACTCAAAAATGGTTTAAGTCATATTTCCCATTTATCAATGAGATAAAGACTGGTCTTAATTTTGGAGAATGCAAGAGGATGCTAACTCAAACAATTCACAAGCAGAATGATGGTCTCCTTAGTGACTTTATCTTTTCCAACACAACAGATGCTGGGAACAAAGGAGACATATTTACAAAGGTAATTTTTGAGAGCAGGGACATAAAATTGTTTGAAATAATAATAAAAAAGAAAAAAAAAAAAAGGCAAAAAAGCAGAGTTTTTTGAAAAGAGCAGATACACCATTTCTGTGAAGTGAAAAAGCCTCACCCCTCACTCTTTGTTTTTATTTCTTCTTTTGGTTTCTTTTGTTTTGTTTAACAGAAAATTCCAGTCCATATTTTGCAAGGACTTACCTGTCTCAGGGTCAAGGCGAATCACTCTCCCACCATCATAACAAGCCACCCAGAGTTTGCCTTCTGTGTCAATGCACATCCCATCAGGAATGCTCTCCTCTTTTTCCAGTTTGTATATACTCCTACGGTTGCCTGCAGCATAGAAAAACCACAGAACTGAGTGAGATAGTTGCTAAAATTTTTATCAGCCACAGCCCACTGGAGTTGTTTGTCCTATTATGTTCAAAAACTGTGCTGAAGCCCTGAGTTTTTTTCCCATGAAAGAAATAAATTGTGTCTGCTGCCCTGTTTGTTTCCCGAGACAGTTGTTTCTCAGCATGAAAGCCTGTAGATCAGTTTCTATCCATTGAAAGTATAATCCTTCTTTCTGGCACTCATTTCTAGCGCACCAGTCGGGTTCCCTACTTACAATATTAAATTAATAACTGAATAAATTAATGTTAGATATATTCATAAAATTAATTACTTGTTTTAAAAGCAGTTTGAATAATTTCAAGTATGGGTTGCTCCAGCTGGAGACTTTTCAGTTTGCTGGAACGTGCCAATAATCACTGTTTCAACACAAAACTGACCTTCAGATCTATAAACTGAGAGCTTACATAAACACAGAGTTTGGGGGGCGGGGGGGAGGGGTAAAGCATCAATTTCAAAGGCATACTATCAACCAAAAAACAAACAACTCTATCTGCACTTTTATCCACTATTATTAAAGAAAATTAAACCCAACTTTCCAACATTGTTTATTTTATGCTCTGACAACTTCAATGTTTCTCATATGCAGCAATATTTTTAATGAGTTTCCTTTTTGCTGCTGGGGATTGTCAGACTGCCCACAGAGAGCAAGTGAGAACGAGTGAGAGAGAGAAGTACCCTATTTCCTAGGGAAAAATTCAGTTGTAAGCCATAGCAGAGAGACATTAGGACAACGTGCTATATCCAAAATTACTTTAAATTCAGAGTTTTAAAACTAAACATCAAATTGGCTGGGTTCTCTTAAAGTAAAATACTGCAGCCCTTGTACTCAAAAACAAATTACTAGTCCAAGTCACCGGAATTCTTCTTTTGCCCAAGCTTGTAGAAGCCCTTAAGGCTTTGTTTTGTTTTAAATTAATGAAGGAAGCTTTGAGTTGCTGCTACCATTGTCGCCTCATTCTTTCTACACAATCTTCCTTTAGTAGTTTGTGCTTTAAAAAACAAAATAGGGTGAAGAGTGAAAAAAATATCTAGAGAAGCTGGCAGAGGCTTTGTGCAAGACTACAAGCTTGCTGTCACTTTGTCCGTGCTGCCAGTAACAAGAAACACGCAGCCACAGGAAGAGACAGATGAGATACACTTTGTCCTTTTTACTTCAAGATCAGATATGCCTTGTGTTTAGTAACAGTAGTACAGATTACTACTCAAACTGCCAATTTAAATACTTTATAGGATTACCAAATGACCCTGACTAGTTTGAGCCAGGAGCCCACGCAGGCACAGACAGAAGTTAATATGGCTTCTGTTCATGCCCCAAAGTTCTGATGATCTCTGTGTAGAAACAGAGCAGAAACAAACATCACAATCTTTAGGCACAATTATTTTAGACTACAACCATTCATACCAATTTTTCCAGTTTGGAGGTCATAATCAAAGGCATCCACTGAGTAGGACAAGCTGTCAATGTAAAAGAAGGTTCTGTGATCCAGCGACCAGTCCAGTCCATTAGAAATGTCCACCTGGTCAAAGTGTTTCACCACTGAGATGTCGGGGAGGAGCGTGTATAGAGAGCCCTGGCGTCTCTCCAGCACGGCAGGACGAATCTCCTCCGCCATTGTACCTGTGCAGAGCCAAAGGGAAAAAAGCAGGTTCAGAGCAAATGGATTCTTCTCCAGGTTTGGGGGCAGCTTCTCACTATGATGGTGATCACACTGCCAGCGTAGAAAGGGGGGCTTCTGAAATTTCAGGAAGAAACTGAGTTAAAAGCAAAAGGCAGACCTCCAAATTGCTTGCTTTTAGCAGAAGGTGGCAAAACACCTTCTCTTTCGCTCTTTTGTTGAACATTCCTGCAGCAGAAATGGTGTGCAGCATGATTCCTGCAAAATGTTTTATTCAGTCATTCATATACTAAGACAGGTGTGGCCAGCATTTAACTTACAATAAATCTTAATGCCTCGTAGAGCTGAGAGAGTGGAAAAAAATTACCTACTCCCTCAGAATGAGTCTTACACTAAAGCCTCTTTTAAAGCAAATCTCATCTTTACACGTTGAAGCTGGCAGCTGAGACAGGCTCTTGAGCAGCTGGGTAAATGCAGGTTAAGGTAGGTCTCGGGACTGAATGACACAGCAGAAGCACAGAATGGTGTCTTAGAAATCAGGAGGGCAGCATCACACCTGTGGCTGGTGGGCACCTCTGGACATCATCTAGGATCACCCCCTGCCCAGAGCGGGGTCAAACACCACAGGTTCCTCCCACCAGTGTTGTGCGTTGAAGATCTCCATGGATGAAGACTCCATACTCTCTCTGGACAACCTGTTCCACTGTCTGGTCATCCTCAGAAAAAGAGTTTTCTTACGTTCATACAGAATTGGCTGAGTTTCAGTTTGTGCCCACTGCTTCCAGTCTTTCAGTGGGCATCACTGAGCAGAGCCTGGCCTCCATCTACTTTACTCCCTTCTCAGTCAGGTACTTATACACACAGGTGGGATCCCCTGAGCCTTCGCATCTCCAGGATGAATAGTCCCTTAGTTTTTAGAAATAATATTCTGAGTTACAGAGAACAAACCATACAATATAATAAATTTCCCACAGGAAAAGTATTTTCTTTCTTGGCACCCTTCCAGTATTCAAAACAAGCAGCTGACAGGAAAGAGTCAAGGCCAGTACCTTAAACTAAGCAGCCCTGGAGTAGTCAGCCTCTTTTTAACAAAACAGTCCAGATTAGATAATGCCCAGGTGATATAAACAAATTTGTAAATGGATTTAAGCTCTGTTTGAAAAAAAAAAAAAAAATCATCCCCACCATTTAATTATGAAGGAAAACTTGCTGCATCTACAACTGATCACTGCATCTTATCACCAAAACCCAGCAAGCACCAGAGGGAAGAGAGATTGCAGCATACCTGCAAAATACCTCCCTGCAGGATCCACCTTCCCATCATTGAATCGGGTATTTGCTTTATCCTTGTCCACTTGAGTAATGGTGGTTACCAGCCCCTCTTTCCATTTCAAAGCAGCAAACCTGGTTCCTAGGGTGATGACATAATCCCCAGACTTCCGGAGAGCCACGGAGCTCACAGGGGCATCTGGAAACGGGGTGAAATTGAAAAGTGAGATGTGCTATGAAGAGACATTTCTTTCCTGCCCACTTTAGAAATGCCAACTGAACTCAGTAAAACCACAGGCAAGAGAAACAACCTGCTTTCCTACCACCAAAACTGATGTTTAAATACATAGAAACAGATCATATCACGTGAATTTGAGTATTACTACTGCTACTAGGAGCTATAATAATTTCCAGCACCTGGTTGTGCTAGGTGCTTTATTGAAAAAAATAAGTATAAAAAGGGGGACAGGAACATATGCTTTTTACAATAGCTTACTGTGTGGGTTCTCCTCTCTCCAAGGGAAAAATCAATTGTCACAATAGCTCTAGAGCAACGTGTTTATTTAGCACAGCTCCTGTGCAAATGAGCCATGAAGTGATGGAGGCAGAGTACCTCTGCACTGGGACAGGTCAGACTGGGCAGGAGTGACATCCCCCCTGCTACACTCTGCTGTGCTGCTCGAACAAACCTCCAGCAGCACCAAAAACACACCAAGGAGTGGCAGAGCTTCCCAAGAGCTAAAACAAAACAGAAAACTAGTAAATGCTCCATGATTAGTTTACACTCACTTGAGCTATTACACGTAAAATCTCAATTACAAGTTATTATAAAGGAATTAGTAAAACAAATCAGTGAGTGCAAAGACAACATTTCTGCAAAAGCCTACAATCAGATGCAATCTAAGGAATAATAACTTTAGGCAGGGCAACCAAGTCTGGCATAGTATTTTTCATAAATGGGACTAATCACTAATTTTCTAATTTAAAACTGAAACATTTATTGTATTTATAGCTTTGCAGGCTTATAATTAGGCAATACTTTCATGAACACTTACAACCACCACCAGCCACTCCTGGATGACAAGAGGAACTGCTCCTTTCCAGCTGTTTGCTCATGTCTCAGGATGCCCCTTCCCTTTGGAGCCCTGGCCGCAGTACCACCATGACAGAAACCTGAATGCTATTTGCCCCCAGCACTGGAGATGAACACCTGACTGCAAGCTGACTGCAAGCTGAGGCTGCTGGTGGTCTGCTCGCTTACACAGGGGTGCCACTCCTTCCCATGCCAGCACAGAGGAGAGCAGAGTCTCTTCAGCCATGTGTGGCACCTGCCACTTGTAGTAATTTTGCTCCTCTTGGATTGCTAGTAACCACACTAATAAAAGTGTTTTTCTGCCTGTATCAGCAGCAGGGGCTTTCCTAGCAGAGCTTGGGATTGCAAGTCTACTTTTGCTCTCCCAGGAAAACACCTGGGGCCATGGCTCAGCAGAGTCCTTCCTCCTGGGCAGCACCCAGGATGTTCCTCCCACCCTGGGGGAAGCAGCCCCCAGGCACAGCTGTCTACTGGAGGTGTTGGACATCCAGGTGCCCCTACAGCCACAAGAACAGCTCCTTCCTGAGAAATCTCCCCAGAGGAAAGGGGTGCATGAGGACACAGCCACCCTACTGTTCACTGCACAAACCCAGCGCGGGAGTGCCTCATCCCATGCACTCAGCTCAGTCTGCTGTGACCCCAGAGGGCTTTGTCAATGCAGCATCTGCAGGAATTGATTGATCTGCAGCACCATCTTGCACCCAAGAGAAAATTGACCATAAGGTCTCCTCTCCAGGCCTAGTTATGCAACTATGGTGTTCCCCCTGTAATATAAAGGGCATTTGATGTTGTTTCGAAGCATAGGGTTGTGAAATTCTCTTATTAAAAGCTTTAATAGTGAATAATTTATCTTAGTTTCCACTTTGGAAGCCTGCTACTGTAATCTCATGGCATTCTTTGGTTGTTTGGGGGTTGTTTTGTTTTTTTCTCTTTTAATCACGGTATTCCCAAAGACACAGCTATTAATTATAACTATTTTACTATTAAAGAGAGGAAACAATTTTAAAAGAAAGAAAAACAGGAACTACTTCAGCTGCTCTTCCTTCCACATCTCCAGAGAGGCCACAAGTAAAAGACAACACTTTTGACGCTAGATCAGTCTGGGAGAAAGGCAGGGAGAAGCACACTTCCTCAGCTAAGCTAAGAGGAAGTTTGGGAAGCAACACTTTCAAAATCATTATCAGGCCTTCTCTCATCTTGAAATTGGCAACTACAGTAATTTGAAAGGCAGATAAGCCTAGATCAGTTTCTAGTGAATAATGCAAACAGTTTATAGGGAGGCAAAATTGATTCTCACCAAGAGTTACTGAACATGAGAAAATAATAACTTGTACTGAGATCACTTAAGGAGCTGCCTCACAACACAAATATTTACTCTAGCACATCCAGCAGTAAACCTGCAATCCTTTCTTAATGTGAGTTATCACATCTCTTCCTTTCTGGAAAAAATACTTGAACCACTGAGACTCTAGCTGGTGACACCAGTACCTTAAAAAAGTATCAACTTCTTAAAGCATTATTAGAAATCTCCTTTCAATATAGAAAACGTTATGAGCATTGATCATTCAAATCAGAACTACTACAGAGACCAACAGAAGAACTTTACCTCTGGGACAAAGTACGAATAAAAGAGTGAGCTGAGGACAACTTAAAGAGAAAAGAAATAGATCAAACATAACCCAGTACTAATAAGTTGTAAGTCCCCAGGACTAGGTCTGGTATCTAGTGTCTCCCGGTGTGCTGGCGACCGAGGAAACCCAGGCTGCAGGGAAAGGTCTCCAGATGCGAGCACCGTGCAGCTGCCGAGGGGCACAGCGAGCGCCAGCACGCAGCTCCCGCACACGGTGCAGCTTTCCAGCGGCTCTTACCCACGGCAATGGCCTGTGCCTGCCTGGTGACCGGGCTCCAGCGGCACACCTTCCTGCCCGTGATGTCCACGAAGAGCAGCGCGCCCTCCTTCTCGTCCCACACGGGCGACTCGCCGATCCTGCAGCCCTCCCTGGCCACGCACTCGATGCCGACAGATGACATGGCCTGCGGAGGGAACCGGCACCGCGGTCACACCGCGGCCTGCGCGGAGGCGGCACCGAAAGGGAACGGGGAGAAGGAAGAGAAAAGGGAATAATAAAAGAGAGTGGGGGGATTAAATGGGGGTGCAGGCGGGCGCAGGGAGGCAAAGGCCGCTCCGCCGCGGGCCCGCCCCCGCATGCCCGGCTGCTGGGGCAGCGTGTGTGCCGCCGTGTCGTGCACACACAGGAGGCGTGCGCCTGTACCTGCCTGCCTGCGGACACGGCCGGGAAGAGCAGCGATAATAAATAGCAGTAACTAACAATAACGCCGCAGCGCCGCCCCGCACGCCCGGCCGCACCTGTCCCCGGCGCCCCCGCCGCCGCTCTTATAGCGGGCTGGGCGCGGGTCCCCGGGCAGGGCGGGCCCCGCCGGGCCGGCCGAGCCTCCTCTCCCCGCGGCGCCAGGCCACGACAGCGGCTCCGGGCAGCAGCGGCCCGGCACCCCCTGCCAAGAGCTGCAGGGAGGGAAGAGAGGGAGAAGAGCTTGCTTTCACACTGCGGTGGCCAAGTTTCTCAGCCCCCGGAGAGGCTGGTTCCTCCCTGCCTCCTTGCTCTGGGGTAGGTGACCACAAGAGACTTAGCCCTGACTTCCAGCACCAGGGATCCTTCACAGCTCCTGCAGCAGCACCTTGGTCATCCAGCTATTCAGCCTTCAGCTTGCCCTCTCCTCTTTTACTCCCCATGCTGTTTAGTCTCAAAAGCTTCCAAAGGCACAGAGCAAACAGCTGGCAACAAAACTTGCAGATACAGTTGTCTGTTGTGCCTCCTTGTCTCTGAGGCTGCTACAGCTCCCAGGCCTCAAGTCTCAAAGCAGAGGGTACTTTTTTTATCCCAGGTCTCCTCTTCAGCATCCCATGACATACTGCCTTTTGAATGGGAGTTGGTGATCCCCAGAGGGATCACCAGTGACGTCAAGTGGCTTCAGTCCCACTGCTCCATGCTTTGTATGTCTCCACCTGGGAACTCGGGCGCGGCTGGATTGCTGCTGTGTTCCCACAAACCAGAATTAACTCAGCTGCTCCAAAGCTTTTGCCTCTTCGCCATCCAGACTCTGGTTTCCCGCTAGCTAATGTAGCAGCCCCATTATTCAAGGGGCACTGCACACCAGTGATCACACAGCATCCAGCAGGGGCTTTTAGGAGCTCCTCCTAGAGATTTTATCTGTTCCTTATCATACACGCTCCTGTTGGCAATTATCTCTGGTTGAATATTAGTATTTGGTTGCCTTTATTCATAAAGCAGGTGGTCACAGCCCTGCTTCACTTGGTCACACTTATTTCTATTAGTGGTATCTTTGGAAAGTTCACGGGCTACATGACCTTACCAACGTGTGTTTCATGTAGCTTGTTCTGACGGAGTACTGATGTGATATTCATTAACTTATTGTCACTTTATCTGAGCAGTTAAACTTCTGTTTTATAGGCTTCCACGGTATTCCTTCAGTGCTTAGCATTGAATTAATTTCTTTTTCTGTCCTACTGCTGCATGTACAACAAATAACAGGATTTCATCTCAGATCTAAGGCAAACAAATTATTAGCAACAACCAACACAGAGATTCAGAAAAAAAAGTGCTACATCTCTCCTTTTTTCCATACACTTCACAACATGGAAAGAAGATTCAGAAATAAAAAATTTTTAAAAAATGCAAAGAACCAAAGAGTTTATTAAGTACAATGAAGAACAATTATTGCTTCTTACAAAGCTTAGCCACATCTACTGCTCTCCGATTCTTTTTGCACATTACAAGGCCTTTGGGATACAATGCAAGAGCTCACTGAATCCAGCAGCAACAGGAGATACACCCTCAACCCACCTCAGCAGTCTCTGTTCCTTGCCGACTTAAGCATTTGCCAGCATGGTTTGGAGGCATCAAAACAAACTGTGTGCTGGCACACACCTCAGGAGAAAATTAACAGCTTCTGTAAGCACTGGGTTACAACACAAACTCTGTGCCATGTATTTGGAGCTTGGATCTCTAGTTACATGGGACAGGACCACTGCTTTGTCTTCTCTGTAATGGCTAATCCAAGTTTGTTGAAAGGTAGAGCAGGGAGGAATCCATGGTGGGGTGCCTTCACAAAGAGCATGAGATGAAGTCTTCTGCCAGTACAAGTTCACTGTGGGAGAGAAGAGCACGGAAGAGATGGCTGCCAAAGATTGTATTGCCTCGTGCCTACCCACTGGGAATTTCCCACTGTTGCACTGCAGCCACAGAGCCTACTGTGTGGCCAAATCTGACTGATAGGGAGCTAACAGCACCTCTGTGGCTTCCACGGGACATGCTGGTAGCTTAGCATATGGCAGGAGGGAGCAGGGAAGTGGAATTCTTACTTATCTACAACCATGAAGAACACAAAGAGGGATCTGTGATCTGGGATGCCTTGTATGGTGAAGTCACAGCCCTCCCCCAGCCTGCAGGTTCCCCAGCCTGTCAGAAGCCACTACCCTTCTTGCCAGTCAGGAAATGCTCAGCAGCTCTGGAGAACAACCCAGAGCACCATAGAGCTGGAAAAATCCCCCCACCCTCAACGACGGTAGGCAAGAAGAGATGCTGGACTATTTCAGGTGCTATTGAGACTGGGTTTTACTAATGCTCATTCCTGGAAAGTTGCAGTTGTTCTTGTCTTCTTGTATGAGCTTGATCCTGCTGCTTCTTCATCTTTAGAGCAATCCTTGTCTTTTTTCCTTCCTTACTACTGTGAGTCCTCCTTCCTTCTTGAAGGTGGGAGAGCTCTAGGCCTTATCCATAGTGGATGTGCAAATGCTGTGTATCTGTATCCCAAGAGCTGCCTCCGAGTCTGTCAGGCACCTCAGCAGATGGGCAAGGTACAGCTGAGAGCGAGGACTGTGCCAAAGGCTTTGGAACCCAAAGAGCTACTACCTCACTGCAAGCATGTTAAATCGATTAGGGCAACTAGAGTGGGCATGTGGCAATTCTCCACTAGCAGACAATATTGTATTTGGGGGTACACAGATGGGAGGGACAAGCAAAAAACGCTGAGCAAGAGCAGAGGTAGAAACATGAAATCGGTCACTGCCATCAGTTCACTGGAAAGGAAGAGTTGGCACTGCCATGCACTTTTTGCAGCCAAGTATAGTTCTTGGAATTGGCTTGTGTATCCAGATCAAATTTTATTTTTTAGCAAGCAACAAGTAACTCCAAGAGAGATCAAACTGCTGAAAAGTTTCAATTGTTTACCGGTCTGGATGATTACAGTTTCGTATTTAAACATAGTAAAACATTTGCCAAAGTATTCCCTTTTCCTGTTTGCAAAATGTCTGCTTGGGAGAAGGTGGCACCAGCAGATTTGTGCCCATTGACTAATTTGTCTAACACCACTGTCACACAAGTTAATGCAGAATGGATTAAGAATCTCAGACAGGGAATCTTTTCTACAAGAGATTGCACCAGATCATCATGAAGTAATATTTAAATATTTAGCATTAAAAACTAGTTTTCACAAAAATTACAATGTTACCCTTTACTTACTACAGTTTATTACACAGTTTTCTTTCAGCACAATTCCTCCTGTACAGGCCACAGGCTCATGAAAAAAACATCTCTCACTTAAGAATACAATGCTTAAACAAATGTGAGACCCTTCCCACTGCAGCCAGTCTCCCAGTGCTTCATGAAAACACCCTCACACTGTCACACATACACCTCCAACTTCCTTGTCATGGGAACACCAACAATTTCAGGTTTCTGCTGCCTGAAGCTGCCTCACAAATCCCGAGTTCCCAGCCTGTGCCTCTCCAGAAGTCCGCTCTGTACTGGGAGCAGCTGGGCAACAGGGTGCTTCAGAAAGCATTCTTCAGTGGAGCACAGCCAAGACATTTTTCATTAATGCCTTACTTTTCTGGTCTTTGTACCCCATGTGACCTTGATTTGCATTTTGCTTGCCTCAGGATAAAAAAAAGAGCATTGATATGTGCTACAGCAGCTGCAAAATTATAGTCACAACAGAGGCAATGCAACAGAGACTTCAGGCAAAGGCAGCATCTTTCATTTAAATAACTGATCCAGCAACAGTGCTTTCAGTGTTTGCAGCTTACAGGCATACAAATCCTTCTTCTGGCCAAATCAAAATTAAATTTTAAATTAACTGCAGATTTAGGGTGACTTCACAGAGCTTCAATTTAAGATGTTCAACTAGACAATTTGAGGAGTTTGGTTTATGTACCAGCCATTTGTAATGTGTGTAAACTACAACTTACAAGTATCTGCATCACCTCACTCATTCAGCTTTTCAGCCTCTGTGCTTCCTTTAACCAGGAGAGATGTCTGGCTTGTTGTATAATGATTAATCAGGAAAAGGATGAAACAATGCCCTACTTCATTTTAGAGGGGACAACACAACAATAGCTGAGCCAGTTTTAAGGAGGGGAAGCGCTTTGCTCAGATTCCATTCAACCAGATGCAAATGGAGCCTAAAATGCCAGTTACAGGGGTTCCCAAACAACTCAGCACTACCCTTCTGAGATAAGGAACTACAAAGGAATGCAAGCAGACACAGTAATTTCAGGTGAAGTGGGTGGGCTAGTTCAGAGGTGGTTTTCCCCTTCAGATGAGTCATTCCCTCACCAGGGCCTGCGCTCCTCCCAAGGTATAACCAGAAGCATTTTCCCAAACGGCATATAACACCTTTTCTTTTTATAGGTACTACTCTTGAAGACTGTCAAGAGGTCTCATATGACCAGGAGATTTCATGATGCTGCTGTTAAGTTTTAAATTCTTCCTCAGGACACTGGCCCACCAATTTCATGAGCAGAACAACTCTGGAACTGCTATGGAACTGTCAAAATACAGTTTGTGTCCTGCTCCCCAGTGCTCTTTCCTCTGGATATGGTGGGTGGGGCAGCACCTAAGGAAAAACAACAGAGACCAGAAAAAAATATCTTCAGGATGTTTAAGCCAAAAGAAACCATGAAGGTGTCATTATGGAATTTAAAACAATGTATATCAGATAAAGCAGCCAAGGTGAGGCAGATACCCAGCTCCAAGTCTGCTGAAAAAGAAGTGGAAGGCAGGAAGGGTTTGCCTAACCTGAAACAAAAGAAGAATCCCAGAGAAAGGGCAGGGCAAGGTGGATCCAGGAGGTTGTCCCAGACAAAAGAAGCCTACTGAAAAAATAAATATTATCTGGAATCTGCATACACAGAGGGAGGGAAATTAATGAGCAAACATGCGGGGCTGCTTCTCCTACAACCATGTGGTCACACAAATTTATCCAAGTTCTCTGCAGAGAGGTGAAGTCCAGGAACAGAAATAGTCATGCACATCCGC